TAAACCAATCAAACCTATTTATACTGTTACGTATCTGCTTGTTTGATAATTTCCGAGTAACTTCAGCTATACAAGTCCCTTCTTGATTAAAACTAGTTTATTCTTTCTGGATACAAAATTTGTAGTACACAGAATTTCCACAGTCACTTTAAACTTACCAACTTTTATAACACACGCTATAAATCACAGTGATTCACACACTTTACTTACGGTGCGTACTGTTCGCTTGACACAATTATCTATCTCTTCAATCTATCTGTCAATATCGCTGGCTTACTTTGCCAGGCTTATGTACTAAAAAAAAGAGGGCGTCTACTAAACACTGGGATATTCGTGGGGTTCCTCGATAAGTCATGATCCTTCTAGAACCTCCAGTGCGCATGTTCCCAGCGTCGCGTGACTTCCGCTGTCGTAACAATATAAAGCAGAGTTAGTTACCCGTATGTTGGGTTTAAACCAATCAGACGAATGGTTCGAGTTTAGCAGCCATTTTAAGTTTAAAGAAGAGTTCGATAGCAAAATACGTGAAGCCTACGACCAAAGTAAGTAGCGTGTTTGTGTACTAGGGATATCAACAGTGAAAAAAAAAAAAACACACACGTTAATTTTACATATATACGATTCAAATCCACATAGGAGTTATTTAGGAAAATGTTACAAAAGAACAAACTACTGCAGTGTACCATTTTTTTGAGGGCCTAAAAAGGCTTGGATACTTTAAACCCCTTCAATATAATATACAGCCATGCGTACAGATTTAAATCTTATATGAAAACAAATCTAATCATATATGTGTGAAAGTATGATTTTAGAGAAATGTGGACAAAAATCTGCAGTCAAGCGTGATTTTTATCACAAATGTTAGGCCTACTGTTTCCAGTGCTTTGAACACTAACACTTCGTAACCATACAAAAATCTGCAGTCAAGCGTGATTTTTATCACAAATGTTAGGCCTACTGTTTCCTATGATTTTAGAGAAATGTGGACAAAAATCCGCAGTCAAGCGTGATTTTTATCACAAATGGTAGGCCTACTGTTTCCAGTGCTTTGAACACTAACACATTTCTTTACCAAATCTTCAGTTAGTAGCGTTAGAACAGTCTATGGATTTATGAAAGTAACATACGAGACAGAGAGAGGGTTGACTCAGTACGTAATACAGACGTAATGAATTAATGGTTTTTGTTAGAATCTGATCTAGCACAGAGGCTGGATTATAGTTCTTGGAGGCCATACTTATATACATATATATTTAAAACTATCAAATTAAATATTTGCTGTTTATCCACTTTAGGGTGGTACAGCGCCACCTCTTGTATGTATTAATTATTATAAGATATTTCCGTTAATCTTCAGCAGTTATATATATACGTATGATTTTAACTTACATATATTTTACTTTAATAAGGTCGTGTCCCTCACTGAGCTCATGGCTGGTGTCAAGGGTGAGACTAAAACAACCCAATTTTTTCAAATCACGTGCTGGCCTCAAGATCACAAAGTCCCGACATCTACCAATGCGCTTGTCGAGTTAATGAATATGGTCGAAAGATGGCGGCAGCGTAGCACCTACGGACCTGTGGTTGTAGTATCGATGTGAGATTTTTAATTATTATCTGTCGTAAAACTGAACTAGAAGTAACGTCATTTTAATTTACTATAAAACTGTATTAAAAATGAGAAAATTGAAAAATAATACTTTCTGTAAACTTATTTTTATTGAAAGGAATATTTGTTATACTTAGGCCTATCATTAACTATACGTTGTAGTGGAAGAAATATAATGCTTTTACTATAATCTACACTAGCTGGAGTACCCGTTATGTAAATATATGATTAATGAAAGCTTATCTTAGGACATGAAAAGTTGCTTCCCTTATATGTAATTATAAAAAACGCCCATAAAAACAGCAAAACACAAAATTTGCGGGTATGTCCGCATGGACCCAATGAACCTCCATACCAATTCTGGTGAAGATCCATCCACACCCTACAAAGTAGTTACTGGACACACAACTGACATTACTATTATATTTATATAGAAGTAGTTACATGGTCATACAACAGACAGAACTATTATATTTATATAGTAGTTACATGGACATACAACAGACAGTACTATTATATTTATATAGAAGTAGTTACATGGACGTACAACAGACAGTACTATAATATTTATATAGAAGTAGTTAAATGGACGTACAACAGACAGTGCTATTATATTTATATAGAAGTAGTTACATGGACATACAACAGACAGTACTATTATATTTATATAGAAGTAGTTACATGGACGTACAACAGACAGTACTATTATATTTATATAGAAGTAGTTACATGGACGTACAACAGACAATACTATTATATTTATATAGAAGTAGTTACATGGACGTACAACAGACAATACTATTATATTTATACAGAAGTAGTT